AGGTAGGCCAGTTTTTAGATCGGACGTCATGCGGGCTATCTGGCTGGCGGAAGAGGTTGCGTAAATCAGTACGCATCGTACATTGTACTCTTCCAACATGCCCAATCACTTAACACTTTTGGATCGGTCTGGCTAACAATTGATTGGTTTGACAATTGAGTTATTGTTTGGTCAAATTAATTTTGGGATTTCAGAAGAGGAAACCTTAAAATCATTGAAAAATTGATATTTTCCCAACGGTACGATTCGCACTGGTGAACGCATCCTCTATCGGTAGCCAGGTGAGAGAGTTGGCATATCTAAAAACTGGCCACTTCAAATTCTTGTTTTCCCGACCTTGCAAGCTCTCGTACCAGAGGGGGGTGTACAACCAAAAAGCGGTAGGGAGTACTTGCTCGCGCGACGATTGCTCTTTTAGTCTTATAAGCTTAAGACGTCGACGAGGACATAGAGGAATACATCGCAAGAGCGCGGCTGGAGCTTTTAAGCACTGGATTAACCTTTTCATGAGTTTCTTTTGTTCTGTATACCATTCGGATAATCTTCACACCACAATTTGATGTCTCTATTGCACGGTTGCAAAGGTATTGGCTTCGGCGTCGGGCGTCGTGGGTTCGATTCCCACACGGCGCAACTATTTGACCCGCAGATAATTGTTTCAGATCTGGGTGATTGTACAGGTCAGATTTATGTTTGTAAAACGTCCTTACAACACTTTATAATGTATTGTAATGTATATAATGCAGTAAGGGCAATGTTCTAAAAATCATTATCTATAACAAGTGCGAGTTGGAATCGCATACGACGAGTTGCCGTGTCATCTTCTAATATATAAAATTCTCGTGTCACGGTGTTTGTAATTGAACTCCGTTTTTCGTGAAATTTTGTGTGCATATCGGCTAGGGTGGAGAATCGGACAACATCTATTTTTCATCCCCCTTAATGTTAAGGGTGGTCCACCCCAAACATTTTTTTCTACCCTACAAATAATTTATATGGCAAAACAACGTTTGCCGGGTCAGCTAGTTATCTATAAAAACGGCAAAAAAATCGTCTGTCGTTAGGGAGCCCCACTTCGAAGTTTTTTTTGTTCTGTTTTTTAGTATTTTTTGTTATAGCGGCAACAGAAATACATTATCTGTGAAAATTTCAACAGTCTTACTATAACTGTTCATGAGAGACAGCGGAGTCTTAGTAATAGGGTCCCATTTTACCTTTTGGGTACGGAACCCTAAAAAAATGAAACAATGGTGTGTAACCTGTGTTATATTCAGCGAAAACCATATTGATTATGGCCCGCAGCTGAGATCTAGAAGATTTGGTTTGATGGATGATTAAATATGATAGCATAAATACTACAGCAAATCTAACAGGCCACAAGTTGTGGAGCATTATTCTCATGCCAAAACCTTAATTATTACCTAGTGTTTGTTATATGTCAGTAAGAATAGTAAGGTATTCTTTAAAAAAAATTGTCTCGCTGTTTCTTTCGCCGGTTCTTCTCAGGTCAGAGGCTTTTTTCCGAACTTGTAGTAGTATTTTGTCAATTAATAAGTAAGTGTAACGCTTCTGTATTTTATACACATTTGATGTTTAATACACATTATAACACAAGGACGATTCGGACAAATCACGGTCTGATATTGCTCAAATGAGGGTTTTACCCATTAATGTATCAAAACAATCATTAACATAATATGTTCAGTAGATGCAAAATAAAGATGGAAGGAGCGTTGCCACAATTTTTATAAAGTTCTTCTGACAAGTTTCTCGTAGATGGTATCATGTATCCTTACGTCATTCGGTTCTGGTATTGGGCGTCGCATAAAACCTAGACTTTACGGTCCAACGTCTAGTCTAGCCAGTCTTGGTTATAAATCAAATATTTAAAATTATAATCACCAAGTTATACTAAAGTTACAGGAACACTATAAACTGAGTAATGAAATTATTTTACAAACTTTAACACTTTACATCATGCAATCGTCCCGTGACTCAGGAAATTCGGAGACAAAATCAGAGTTATAGATTGAATCCGTAAAACATTTTCATTTAACAATTTAAAATGTATATAGATATATATATATATATATAAAGATATACTACAACTGTAATAGTTTCTATCAATTTTTCTACAAGACACGAAAGTAATGAAATCAAATCATTCATCGATGTAAGAAATATAACATTTCGTTCGTCGAAACGCATAAAAAAGAAAATTACGGTATTTTGTGTCGAAGGAGATGTTTATATAAATAATATGTGACTATGTTATTACATTAACTAGAATATAATAATAAGCGTGGCACAAATAAATTTACAGGTAATGTGGTGAATAGATTGCCGTGACAAAATTTTTATTAAACGGATCTGATTCAACGTAATATAGATTAATGTGGTAGGGCCAAGCATGTTGAACGAGTGGCCTGGTCCGTCCGGGGAAGTACCGCGAGCTCACAGAAGACCGGCGTGAAGTGTAAGTGTTATATTGCGTTTCGTCTGGTGACTAAGGTAGCCGGAGCCCACTTTATACAAAGGTGGCAACGAATCTGCAACCTTACGGGTGTTGCAAATGCGGTTATCACTTAACATCAGGTTAACCAACTCGCTTGCCACGTTGTCACATATAAAAAACATAATTAAAATATATATATCGACGTAATATATCGCCGGGCTGTGGGGATCCCCTTTCGTTTTAACGTTTGCCTTACCTTCCAATCCTTGACATGGGTTTTTCGTATGTTAAAAGATTGTCATGTAAAGCGTTATTTGCCAAAATGTCTCCGGCATGCGGTTAGTAGGCCCGGATGAGATTAATCCCGAGTATTGATTTTGCTCATGAGTATGCGGATTGGTTTGATCCAAATTTATTTGGCTGTTACGCCGTAAAGGGGAGACAAACGTGCAAATTCTCACCGACAATGTATAGTAAGACTGAGAGTATTTTATTCCATATGACTGCTTTAAATACTTAGCGAATGTCTTATACATTAGTAATTACAAAGGGCGTTATTCTCTGTATTGGTGAGACATACTAACGATTAAATTAAAAATAATTAAATTATCTCTTTAATGAGAGACACCCTTTGTGGTATAAATATAAAATTAAAAATTAAACATTAATATTCAAGATCTTTACGAAAAGATAACTACGATGACAGATGACAGAATGTTGTAGAAAAATCGAACATTGCCGTGTGAAAAATTCCGTTACAAAACGAGGAGAGGCTCAAAGTACTTCACAAAGGCTCACAGGATGTTTACAAAAAAAAAAGTAAAGTAAATATGTCCCACTGCTGGGCAAAGGCCTCCTGTGTAAAGAGTTAAAGTTGAAACGAAATTCGAAATATTTTTTTTAGTTATTATTTCGGAAACATGCAGGTTTTCGATGGTCACGATGTTTTCCTTCACCGCTGAGCACGCGATAAATAAGTTCAGCACTTAAAATTGGGGATCGAACTCAGGTTGCTTGAGTACATTAAATTCAAGGCGAGCGCCCGGACACTGAGCTATCACGGCTCTAGCTATCACGGCTCTTACAAAGATTCTCTTAAATATAAGGAGACACTCGCGTTTTAATTCAAGGAAACGACGGACGGTGGCAGACTTTTGTGAGGTGTCAAGCGATCTGGCAGTTCACCTGGTGGTGTTGATTACCACCAACATCTGCAACGCCCGTGACGTTGCGGAGGCGTCGCCACCTTTACCACCACGATGGTGATCAATTGGCAGCAAACAAACGCTCGTCAATGTGACGACACCCCACCTCGTGAGGCGGTCATACCGCCAATTATTTTTTTTTGACAATTGTTGTAATGTAACCGGGCTGGTCCACCTGATGTTAAGTGATTACCTCCGCCCATGGACACCTCAGGGTTTGCCGGTTGTCTCACTCATCAAACGCGACTCTAGAATAATTCCACTCCATGCCGGTCTTCTGCGGGGCCGTGGTACTTCCCGGGACGCGGCTGCACATTCGTGCAACAGCAGGTGTTGCGTGGCCCTACCACACAATAAAGCGGGTCTTCACTGGTCTATCCATCAACGGCTGGATAGCCAATTACAATCATAGTCGGCATCCACGTAATATTGCTCAGGGGCCGTCGAACGTTAAAGGTCAAGCATTACTTCGTAATGATAGAATTTAGGTAATGGTTTGAATGGTAGAAGTATATCCCCTTGAGTGGCAAGGTAATCAGCACGGTACGGGTCTTTGTTCGGAGGGTCGATAAGGGCAGCGCTATTTATCATTGGAAACGATATCATCTAGTCCTCAGAATGCGTAGTTAAGAAACAATGAGTTCCGTGATAGCTTTTAAGCAAATATTACGATATGAAAAAGGTTATAACTTCATCAAAATGTTCTCTTAATGTAACTGAAAACTTGAAACTGAACATGAGAGAACAGATATGTTAACTAATTTAAAGCAAAACGCTAAAAATCAACTTGAGTCATTACGTTTTGAAGGCAAAAAAATGAGAATAAATTTATTATAATATGCTGACAAATAAATGATAGAGTTAAAATTTTACAAAGATCCGCGACATCAAGTGTGTGTTGAAACAAATGTCTTTTTACTAGTACAAGTGTTTTAGTCAAAAAAACGAAGTCTCACCGTCATAAATAAACACCTACTCGCCATCCCGCAGCATCTTTTCGTATAACACATAAATCTTATCACAACTGATAACCAACGATAAGATACCAAAATATCGGTTTTCGTTTCGTTCCTCAAGTTCATTGCCGCTCGTAAAGCGGCCATTGTAATAAAACGAAAATCGTCAAAAAATCTTGTAAATGTAAAATCAATTAAAACTTAGTAAAAGCCGATAAATTTTAACTTTCTACAATATTAGCACTGATTTATTTTTACCATTTAGTTACACCCTAGTTCATATTCTGAGAGCTTCATTTTTCTACATTTAATGAAGGGCAAAGGTTTCAATCGTCATAAGGTCTACTTCGGATAACAAAGGCATGACTGAGGGACATTACTGACCTGCTTGACGATCAGTCTCGCGACCCTCGGGCTCGCGAACGTGACGAATCCGTAGCATTTGGACACACCAGCCCTGTCGTAGATCACCCTCGCCGCTGTGACGGTCGCGAAGCCGGAGAAGAACTTCCACAAGTCCTCGTCGGTCGTGGTCAAGGAGAAGCCGCCCACAAAGATCCTGTTATGTATTACCGTTCCGAATTTCGGGGCGTCCGATGGTGGCAGAGTGTCATCCGTGTCCTCCTCTGGCGAATTCAGAAGGGCCTTCAGCTTCTCGTGCGGATCCGCGCTCTTTCTATTGTTCGCGGCACTCTCCTCGACCATGTGGGCGCAACTCGCCGACTCGCTGCGTATGTACCTTTTAGCGCTGCCTTCCATCTTACGGTGGCCCTTTAAAACATGTTCCCTTGTTTACTAAACTAAAAACGCTAGCGGCAACTAAACGGGGACACTAATGTTCCGACGAAAAAACAACTCGGACTGGCTTTACGCGGCGTAGTATCGATTTTGACGGGCACTGTGCCGTTATAGATGTGTTTCGTGCGCTGCGCTGTGGCCGTGCATGCGGCCCGCGAGACTCCGCGCCCGTTGAGACAACAGTGCGAGAGATAAGGGTGTGTGAATTGAGATTTAAGATATACGCACTAAAAATAGTGTTTGAGCTATTGTCGCCCGCTATTTTTACTGATCGAGGTAACTAGGTCATCTGTTGATACGTAGTGGATATATTCGAAGTGGTTCTTATCTTTCTTAGTTAACTCGTTGACATTTGGCGCGCATAGATGGCGTTGCCCATAGCGCCATTATTTGAATTTTGTGTTTTAAATAAACATTAGCCAATTTATATATTGTCTCAGAAATAAACGTATTAAAAATAAATTAAATTAGACATAACAACATTGAATTTTTCTTACCTACCCATTCAATAATAACTAAATTGAATATCTTGTGACGAGCTTGTATAATTTTACTTGCATTAAGAAAGCTCCAAATGCTGCTATGGAAAATAAGTTATTATATTGTATTTAAATTTAACGTAAAGAAATATTCCTTAAAACGTCTTTTATCTTATAGTAATCGGCTGTTCAAAACAAAACATAAACGTATTTAGGGAATCTAGGGATGCCCAAAAAAGTTTATTGGGTCAAATGTATTTTAATTGTATGCTAAATAATTGAATGTTATGCACTCAAAGAGTGTTTTGGTAAAGGTTAAGTATAGTAATGATTTAATATTCAAAAAGAGCTAATATTTAAGAAAAACATACGGGGGAACTTAAATTTAATTTCTTCATTAATCGTTATAACAATATTTTTCTTCTTTGCAATCCGTCTCCGACATGCTTTGGCTTATGTCACGTGTTTTGTCATTGACGTTGATGACGTTAATAATTTAATCATTTCAGATACATAAAAGTACTCTTTGAATTTAATATTTTGTTCTTTTCTAATATATAATTTCTTTAAAACAAATTTTTATTAGTTTCATAGTAAGTTTATTGTTGCGCATTTGAAAATTATTATTTAAAGGTTTGAATTGCCTGAAATAAAACAGGTGTTTTACAATTTATTTTGTGTTTTATAGTTTTAATTACTCTTTAATATAATTCATTAAAAAAAAAAAACAGTTATTTCAGTTTTAAGTTTTCACTTTTGTCGGCAGTCCCCATGGCTATTTTTTACATTTGCCAGCAAGTTGACATTAAAACTATGCGTTTCGAAGGCACCCAAGTTCCACAGTGGATAAAGTAAACAGTGCCCAATCACTGAAGCTGAGCCAAGTACTTACGATTTACTTCCCTTAACGTAAGGAAGTCTAGCAAATACTATTGAGAAAATATCTCATCCATACTTTTTGTGGGTTCACTTAGAAACGGTCGAGATGTCACAGTCAAATATTGTAATGACAACCTGATGATGAAGTTTTGCATGGCCTAAAGTCTTATTATTCAAAGTAGCATTTGTTATAAAAATAAAATGGTTCGAACCTGCACATTTTTATATCCGGAGCATAATTGTGACATTAATAATGCTCCGGAAATTTAGAAGAGGAAAATGCCTGCTTACATGTGGTCTATTACACAAAAATCTCTATTACACAATGACTTGACTTGAAATTAATTCTTCACAATATTTGACGAAATCTGGGTCTTTTGCTGTAAATAACAATTTGTGTTCTAGGACCACTCATTTTTTTTTCCTATGAAATATATTCGTATTATTTTATTTATTATATCAGATTGTTTCGTAGTTATTGTCAAGTTAGTGCAAAAAAAATTGGTTTTATTTATGTGAGTTGCAATTAATGTAAAACAAGTATTTAATACAATTGACATATTTATTAAATCTCACACATATTTTTGATAATTGAGATTTAAATAAAATAGTGTTAGTTCTTAAAAAATCAAAAATTGCAAAGTGCAATCGGTTAACCATTCCTGGCAATATTAGAATCGCAATGTCAATTTGACAATTGACAATTGTTGACAGGTTGACACAGTGAAATGATTTTGATTAGCGAAGAATGCAAATGTGTGAGTTACACTTGTGCAGAGTTCACTTAGTTTATTTTTATTTGTTGTGATACATATTCCAAAGTGATCGCTTTTTGTGTTTTTTGTTTTAAATTGGCGTAAAGCAAGGACTAAAATCGTTTATTTTTACACGTTACGTGTCTTTGTGCAGTTTGGTAACTTTATTTATGAGAATAAGTAAAATATTGTAGTAATCGAATAACGAGGCAACAATTTTCATCTAGTAAGTAAGTATTGCATATCTCTACATTTTAACATTTGCACGATTTATTCATAACGGTTATTAGAGCGTTCAGCAGAGACATTGCTAGTGAAACTGCTTTTTAATACTTTCCTATCGCAAGAGACTATATTTCGAAATTTTAGTTCTTAGTGGTTTTCTCGGTTTACCTTCATAAATTTATACAACACTTCAACACCGGGAAAGTTTTAGTGAATTCCAGTTAATAGTCTATTTCTATAATTTATTCATTTAATTAACTGAAAAAGTCAAGATATCAATAAACGGTCTACGCATCATTAATTTGTTTCAGTAAGTTTGATTATATTATAAAAAATATGAGTTTTAATCCTACACTAAAATGGAAGTAGAAGTATGAAAAAAAATGGTTATAAATAAGGGTATAACAGTTGAGATATGTTTTAATCATAAAAGCAGCCATATTTTCTCTTTATTATTATTCTGTTTATTATAATTCCTATAGATCTTATTGTTATAATGGTAACAATTTCTTAGTAATATGTGCTCAATTCTTAGTCCATGCAAAGACATTCTTTGCATAGCATTTATGCGAGTATTGTATCTCATGTTAAAAGGCAAAGGCCACTAATAAAGTAAAATAGTATTGTATTGTATGTATTATGCTTTATTGGCCACCATAAACAAATAAAAATCAATGTTACAAAAATAAAAACTTACGAGGTAGATACAATAAGTCGGTCTTATCGCTAAAGAGCCATCTCTTCTGGACAACCTTGTGGTTAAAATATATTATTTTAAACAATGGTAAACTTACATACTAACACCTAAATAAATTATACAAATATAATATATTATATAATAATAATACACTGATATATACCAAATATACTGATAAATATCATAAAGTTAATGTATTAAAAAGTGGACCATTATAGACAGACACAATTGTCGGCTCTTTAAATAGAGTGCATTTACCACTTTTAACTTGTTGGGAAGCTTAAAACTTACAAACTTAAAGAATTTATAATAACAATGTTACTGTGCTGTTTATTTGCTTCACAATTTATGCCTTAATTATGCAATGGACTATATTGGTGGTACGTAATTAGTTCATGCTTTGTTAAATTCAAATCTGTGGCATGTCAATTAGAATTTTGATATTGTATGTACCTAGAATTTTCTGTGGGTTATATCAAAATGCTGCCCATTTATAAGTATGCATACAAAACTAAAGGTTCTTTTTTAACACTCCCATTGTTTCACAATTGTGTGGAAGGTGCAATATTATGGATTCATTTTATAGGAAATTTATTTACCTCATCCTTGTCCCTATTTATTCTTGCTTGTCATGTATAGCAACTTCTTACATCAAATTTCATGATATCACTAATTTGGTTTATATTGGTTCACCAAGGTTGTTATTTCTATATTAGAGAATATTTAGGCTTCCTTATGGTAAAATAAAATACCTCTATTTAATGTGAAAAACTGACATTCATGATTATTAAACATCTGAATTGACTTTTCATTAAGAGATATATGTTTATGTTATCTATACCCATCTCCATATATTTTTGATTACTTTAGTTAATTAAATTATTAGCCTAATTAACAAGTAATGTTTTTAATACAATGCATTGTAAAAAAAACCGGCCAAGTGCGAGTCGGACTTGCGCACGAAACGTTCCGTACCATTGCCTATTAAAACGGCAAAAATTCATGGTAACCCCCACTTAAATATTTTTATAACCTGTTTCTTTAGTATTTTTGTTATAGCGGCAACAGAAATACATCATTGTGCAAATTTCAACTGTGTAACTATCACGGTTCACGAGACGTACAGTGGTGTCAGACAGACATACACTGTTTGTATGTCCGTCAGACATTGGAGTCTTAGTAATAGGGTCACGTTTTACAATTTGGGTATGAATTCCTAAACACTGATGAAAATTGGGTTTTATCATGGCAAAATATATGAATAATTATTGATAATACTGCTCAATTATTCGAAAATATTAAAGAATTAATATATCTGTAGAACTAAGGTGACTGACATAGCTCAGAAGATTAGCAAGCTGAAGTGGCGATGGGCCTGCCATGTAGCTCGTAGAACCGATAACCGTTGGGGAAGAAAGGTTCTCGAGTGGCAGCCTCGTACTGGCCATCGCAGTGTGGGACGACCCCCCACTAGATGGAGTGACGACCTGTGCAAATGTGCGGGAAGTCGATGGATGCAGGTGGCTCAGGATCGTACTTCGTGGCAGTCTATGGGGGAGGCCTATGTTCAGCAGTGGACTCAAACAGTCTGAAATGATGATAATGATGATGATATCTGTAGATAGATGTCTACGGAGTTTCTCCATTATGACTACAATCCCCAATGACCACTGCAACTTAGAAAGATCTATTGTAGTATTATCCTATCCTAACCCTTTGAAAACTTCCTTAGCATAAAATTTTCTTGTGTTATATGGATGGTTTATATACATAAATTTCAAATGGACAAACCCAGAATGAATACATTATATAATAAATATAGAAACGAATATATAACTTTCACATGGACAAACCCGGATCCGAAAAAATTATCTGTGTGTCACACAAATCTCGTATGGGTATCGAACCCACGACCCCTGGCGCCGA